AGGTTATTGTTGAAGTTAATGTTCGTTCGTTATAGTGTTTGTTTTAGCGCGAATATTGAAATTAAGTGTATCGCAAAATTATATTCGGAAAGAATAAACCAGTTTTATTAAGTAAAGACTTGTGTCGTTAAAGTTTCGTCTGAACGAAGTTACATAAAAATCAATTAACAAACGGAGACGTAACAATATACAAGATTAAAATAACATCAATTCCTTACAGTAAGTATTTCTGTTAGATTAACACAGTTGCTGTCATAATCTTTCTAAACAGTCAGTTGAAGTTTATGCTTTTTTTTTTAAATCAATAATCACACTTAATTCCTGGTTTTCCACAACAACAGTTCACTTCACAAAAGAAGCAAACTTTTACAAGTTGTTATATCCCAAGTGTGTTACATTTACTTATTGTTTAAACTTATGAATACTTAAGTTCACACTTCCTCTTGCTGACTTAGTCATTAATACTGACAACACTTTTTTTTTATAAGAGAGATATCCTTAAGTTCAGCTTTTCATAGCACTGTATTTGCAACTATGTATAAGTAAGGTTAGAAACTAGTAAAGTCTTGAAAAGTATCCAAATAGTTGACATAAATGAACAGAAAAGGTCCCCAAAAATTTTTATTCTAATTCAGTGAATATCCAGTCTACAAATATTTTATATAGCACCTTACTGAAATATTTATAGAAATCAAAATGCATAATGCCAGCCAGTTTCTATTTTTGTAGAAAAATTACAAGCCATATCAAAAACAAGAAGCCATGTTCATGATTTCAAGAAAGACAATTTTCAGAAACAAAAAGAAATTATGAGAGAGAATCACTAGAAGATTGATCTAGTTAGAAACATTGTTAATGAAGCTTAAAAATTTTATTAGTTCAGTCAGTGTGACTGAAAACAGAAATTTCTTTCAAAGTATATTTTGTACTAATAGTGCATTTTCATGTGAATAAATTGACTAATTAAATTATCAAATGAGGAATGCCAAGCTTACAGAAAAATGAAATTTACTAGAACAACTTGAGAAACTTTTGTCAGTTGAAATGTAGAGAAGTAAAATTAAAAATATTGTTAAGGCTAAGAAAAACTTTGCAACATGAGTAATCTTATTCCTTCAAGAGACTATAGGAAGGGAACTTGGTTGAAATGTTCAATAGTTTTGGTTCTAGTATTTTTGCTAATAAAAGAGAATAAGGACAAAGGATTCATAATATGATAAATCATATAAAGGTACAGACAAAACTTCTTCAAATAAATTACTTAAATTTACTGACAGTATTAAGGTCTTTGGTGTTTCTGGCTGTAAAGATGCTGCTGATATTTTACATTATTTGGTAAGTTGGATAAACAAATTTAAGCCTCTTTTAATTATAACAAATACAAAGTAATGCAGGTGGGATATCATAATTTAGATTATGAGAATAATTTTGGTGGGAAGAATTTTAACAGTGTTATGGAAAAAATAATCTTGGTGTTGGGATTGTTTAGTCTCTTAAGCAGTGTGTTTGTTATTAGTGGTAGGGTGAATAGGATTTTAGGTTGTATTTACAGAAACAATGAATATACATCTTGAGATGTTTTAATTTCATTGTATCAGTCACTAATTAGACATCATTTGGAATATTAAGAAGGACATTGAATCGTTGGAAAGAGATAAAAGGAGAGCTACTAGGATGGTACTTGAGATAATAAGGTTGTCATATGAGTACATGTTAAGAACTTTGAAATTTTCTCTTAAAAACAGAGGAGATAGAGGAGATCTGATTGAGGTGGTTAACATTTTTAAAGGAATTGGTGCTGATGCATCCTTTTTTTTTGTATTTGAGTGAGAATGATAGGACAAGGGGACACAACAACATATATTTTTGCAAGATAGTAGTCATCTTCAGCTAAGAAAGTTTTATTTTTCTAACGGGGTGATTGATCTTTAGAATTTATTGCTTTCAGATATGGTGGATGCATTAAATTTAAAGGAGTTTAAGGGAAGGCTTGATAAATATTTGAATGATAAAGGCTGTGTTGTTTTTTTAAAAGTTTAGTTTAATAGATAGGACAGTTATAATCAACCAACAGGCCCCTTGTTGTCCTTAAATGTTACATTAAATTATATTTTTGTTTGAGATGTTCTAATATAGCTAAAGAAGCTTCAGAGAAATAAATCCCTGGCCCTAGTTGAAGATTTAACTTTTAATATTTTAAGAAGTCTCATGACTTTAGAGACTTTTCCAGTGATTGAAAGATTGCCAATGTTATCCCTATTCTTAAAAAGAAAGGATCATGAAAAGACCCAAGAAATTTTATATCTATTACTATCTTGTACAGCAATGTAACTTTTGTTATATTAGTATATTAGCAAGTTATTAGAATCTGTTGTCAGAAGTATTGTAAGAGCAATTGTAAAATTAGTATTTAATAAAAAGTACTCAACATGGTTTTTATTCCCGACTAACTTATTGAAATATTTTGAGTGGGTTTTTGATTTTTTGGTAGTAGAATAATTACAGTAATCTATTATGTACATGGGTTACAATCTATTGAATTGCTTCAACATGACATATGGACCTAAAGGGAGTGTTTGGATTCTCTGGCACACGCACACTTTTATGGAAAGGAAAAAATACGAATCTATATTTCATTTTTAAAGAAATGATAATTCTTCTCTTAAATTCCTGAAAAATAAAACGTACTACACTTTTTCATTCAGCCTTCTGCATAGTGAAGCTGATACTAATCTTCGTGTGACTGTGTAGAAATTTAATAACAGTTGAGTTGGTATAGAGGATCTGTTTTATTGAGCTAAAAAGTGATACATAATGGTCATCTGCTGGGGTTATGACCTGAGGTAAACCTTGTATTAATTTTGAAGCAGTATCTTCATGTGGCTGTAATTGTGTCCATAGATCAGAAACAATACTTTCTTATACAAGTTTTAAGTTCATATTAAAATATTATTTTTGCATTCTGTGAAAAAAATCATTATGAAAAAATTTAAAATAAAGAAGCAAACATGTTTTTATTTCAATACTTTGAGAGTCATTTGTTTCACTTTGTTTTATTGAAATTAATTCTCCTGGAACAAAAGGATGTTGTCCTTGCATTAAAAGGAATTGTCCTTGATTAACTAAAATCCTCAAATAGATAGGAACAACATTTTGACTCAAGCAATTGCATGTGAATTTTGATCCCTGACTTACAAGGACGACACCAAGAATTATACTACACTTTCAGGTCAGATAAAGGGTTCAAATGTGGTGTCCCATAATCTACTGATTATTTACATCAGTGAATATTCCAAATCGTATATTCAAGGAATCTTGCAACTCGTATGAACTTTTAAAAGTATCTGTATTACCCATTAATATGGGTTTTCCCATCCCAAAGAGTGGACATGGACAACATAAGGCCAAAATGATACTAGCTTCTATGAGATAGCCATTATTCTATGTAAAATTTACTTAAGCAAAAGGATTAGTACATGTTTACAATCTTTTAATACCTAGTTAACAAGAGAGCCATAGCTACATGTAGAACATCCATGAAAAGTTAGAAAGATTATTGGAATATACTTTATAACATGTA